TCGCTGTTTTGAACCAAGTGTTAATTTTGCTTCTTACTACGAGGGGAGCTGGTCCTAATTCCCGCGCAGCATAAAGGCTATAGAGGTGTGCTTGTGCATTTCTGATGAGGACAACAAGGGTGATCGCTACTTGGTCTTTGCTTCTGTTCTTGCTGCTAGCACACGTAAAAATGTGAGTTGCTAATCTGGTTGTAACAGGAGCTATTTATTCCAAATGATAAAGAGCGAGCAGCGGCTCAATTCGTGTCATGTTCGTAAGAAGCTCGACACACTTTACTTATGATCGAGTCTTTTTGAAATATGGGGGACGGAGACCACTTCTTTTCCGAAACATCAAGATCTAATTTTGTGACATTGGCAGATTGCAATAGCTTGTTGAGTTCTAGCCACTGACGAGGGGCTAAAGAGCCTTCTAATGTTTTCCTGATGCAAAGGATTTCTATTGAAAGAGAATGACACCAACTACGCAGAAACACTCGAGCTTTCCTGTGTCTTTCTGAATTGAGAAAGGCACAGGTGGTTCTTCCAATGAGCGCGGACACGGATCCACATTCTGGTTTCGGTTTTGGGTGGTTTACATGTATCACAAACACGCACTCCAAGTAGAGGTCAGCAACGCCAAGTGCAGAACCACGGTAAAATAGTAAATATCGATGGTTTCTGGACCTGGGCGAAAGAATTTGGGGACATACTGTAGACGAACAGCTGGCAAGAAGGCTGGGGTGGATCATCGCGGGGGGGGACTATGCATTTCCCACAGATCCTTCTCCATCTGCAGAGCACGTTCGTGATCACCTCTGCTTGCAGGGCGTGGTACGTATGATACCGCACACATGGTGGAATCAGGTGGAATCTTTCAGCATACAAGCTCGAGGCCCAGGCTGACGGATCGCGCATCCTGCGCAGAGTCGACGATGACTGCCAAAATTAAATTCAGCATCGCCAAATCCTGAAATGCAGCCGTCGAGAGTCAGCATTCTACGTGTCTACATCACTCCAAGACATATCTAATCTCAGTGGGATTCTCTGGACACGCATACGTCAATGGAAACAGCCAAGCGACGACAGAGACGATCACACCCGCAAAATATGTCAGCGTAATGGGTTCGGCTTCCAAAATTGGCAAAGCCAAATGACCCCAGCTGTCACCTGTTACAAGCCAGCATGTTGGGTGCTAGTGATTCTGCACAACCTGTGAAAAAAAGACAGGGGAGAGGTCCCCCTCACACCGCACGCTGAAAGGAACCGTAAGTTTGCCGATGGCAGCGTCGACTCCGTTGCTGCTGCATGCACAGGCCGTCATGTATCTGTTGTGCTTCTTGCATTGGTTTGCCACAGGATATTGGAAGACGTGCTCTGCAGGCCTGCGATGACCGTCTGCAGTAGGGTCATGGCCTTGGCGGACTTAGCCAGAGCCATCCGTGATCTGCTAGGGGAGCACGCGATAAACTGTTGCTTTCAAGGTGCACTTTGCCAGACGCTCTCAAACGCATGAGGACATCTCTCGCAATCTCTGTCAACCCAAATCCTGCCCGCATGGCTAGAGATGAGGGTGGGAAGTCATACCACACGGTGGCACAAAAACGCACACGCACGACGACCGGCGTCCTGTAGTTGATCGGGTGTATGAGCTGTACTGCTAAGATGGCCCAAAGGGTCACCATCACAATGACCATGATGACCTGAGCATGTTGGCATCAGCCCGCTCTGAATGTTTCAGGCCGCCTCCCTCTGCAATGGTATCAATGCTGGCGGGCCACACCCCAGAAGACCGCGCTGAGAGAAGCAAGGAAGCCTTTGGCGCATGCTGAAGCCGATGCACTACATAGCGACACATGGCTGAGACAGCTTGAATGTGCTGGGCCATGTCCCAGCTCTGCAGCCAAAGGCACTGAGCATGAGCATGCTGAGCTCGCGGGACTTGCGAAGCAATCTCACCGCTCGTAGAATTCGGATTATTCCTTGACTTACTAGGAAACCGCTCTCCGGTGCAATCACCAATATTGATTTGCCAGGTTTCTCAGGAGCCGGACAGCAGAGAACGCGCTTGTGGCCTCCATGCCTGCCGGGTCAGAAACGGCCGCAAGCTGCAGTAGTCATAGAGCTGAACGTCAGTCTGGCGGCAGGAAGGATACGCCTGGTAAAACCCAACATGTGGGATGCCAAAGTCCCACATGCATACGCTAATGCCTTGCAAGGTCTTGCCTGCAAAATCCTCCACTGCGTAGATTGACAGGTCAAGGAGAACGACAAAGGCGTCGATCAAGTGACTGGGCACGGTGAACAGCGTCAGCTAGTTGGATCTGCTACCAGCCGAACAGAATAGAATAGAACTACAAGAGCACATGCGCCAGCCGGCAGCAACATTGCAATTTTACGTCCGCCCGATCTCCCTCAAGGCAGCACGTTCAGTCAAGTGGCAAGGCATCCAAAAAGATCTTCGACTGGTATACTGCACCTGGGACTGACTACATGAGCACAGCGCGGACTACGAGCACGAGTGGGCCAATGCTCTTGCCCAGGGCCTGTTGAGCAAACGAGTTTCCATAGATTCTAATTAGTCTAGGAAGACCCCTCCTTGCTACTGGCAGGGGGCATTTGAAGATCAACTCCAGGCTGAAAGTCGCGAGCATGATGAGGTTTGCAACCTGCCAGGAAGGCAGCGGCGAAACAAACGGCAACTTGCCGCAAAACCTGGCAAGTGAGAGACCATCCGCTGTGCCTCAACCCATGCAGGGATTTCCCTCTCCACGCCCACTGCACCAGAGTCGACCTGCGTTGAAGCGGACTGGGGCATGCCAGCTACACTTTCATGGCGAATGGATGACCATAGAGAACCGTTACTGTAACCCCGACCAGGGTCCAGTACCACTGCAAGACAAGTGAGTCGGCATGTCACCAGTCTAGATATTGATCTCTCCGCCGGAGGCAGTCCTCAATGATGATGAGGCCAACATTAAACGCGATCCTGAAGCTATTCAGAGCAGGAGCATGCACCCGCCATGAAACACCAACTGCACTGATGCGATTGCGTGTGCCTTCACACTTTTGGACATGTGTGTGTGGTTTCCGGCCGGGACACATCAGTCCGAGGATGATCTCCGCAGTAAGCGACTTCGACAGGACCGCGAGCTGGAATCCTGAACGACGGGAAAAATGGCCAGGAGCCAAATGCTCGTTACTGTTTTCGATCACGAGGGACGCACTTAAGCAACTACAGGCAAATTCTTGTAGTTTGGGCTTTGCATGTGACAGAAGAGACCGAAGGCCCAACATTGCCCAGTCTCTGATTGGACTCTCAGTCGGCATTCGCGGATCCAGCATATCAGGGATTCCGCCTCAGGCTCTGGCACATCAACACTTTGCTGCCTTGTCCGCGTCTCGCCTTTTCCTTTCCCTTTTGTGCTCCATGCATGCGGAAGCAAAGCGTGCCGCATGCCCAGGCCCGTCCAGTTGTCAGGTGAGCGTCCCCATTTCGCAGACTGCTGGGTCTTCATCGCCGGAGACCTGAGCTGACGGCTGGGTGCTTGGGACCGCAGTCCTGCGCATCAAGGTCAAGCCAATTGCTGCCTGAAGGGCATCCCCAACAGTGCGGAGATTCGGCCCCGCATGATGCCTCTCATCTTTTGCGAGGCCTGAAAAGGCAAAAGGTTGGTGTCTCATGGGTCACCTCTGCACAAAGTCCCATCCGTAGCTTGTTGACACCGTTGAAGTCATAACTTGGCGGATCCGCACGGCCCAACTTCACCAAGAAATTGCTCAAAAAGACTGTGGTGGGGTGTCCTGCCGGGCCAGACGGCCGGGTCCAGCTTACGTTTCCCGTGGCGCGACACTTCAGGGCATGGCTCGCGCTTTCCGCTCTGCAAAGCCTCGGGGATCACCGGGTCGGGTCGAGTTTTCCTGGGGGGCTCGGGGAGAGCATGATGGGCGCCAGGTGACGGGAGGCTTCGAGTTGCTCTGATCTGCAGGCTACGATGGGCTGGGCAGCTTGAAAAACAGTTCTAACCATGAACCTCTTAGTTTCTTCAGCTTGAGATGGAAAGGCCGGCGATTGATTGCAGGCCCTGCACCAGATCACCTGTCTCTGTGGAAGTGCAGCTGTCTGCCGTACTGTGACCGCGAGGCCGATGGAAAAGCTTTGGCCACGGCACTTTGCTGAAGAAAACCCAACTTTCGCCTTCCTGGACCAGTTGACATGTGAGCTGCATCCTGTAGCCTTCAACAAGGAACAGGCGCACCAGGATTACTCTCTGGATGACCAGCGCCAGGAAATGGCCCCTGTCAAGGAATCGCACAGCTTAAAAAACCAGCACCGTAGCCGGGTCCGAAACCAGGCCCGGCGGACAGGAAGAGAAGCGCCCACAGCGCTCTGAGCAGCAAGTAGGCCCGAGGCCGCAGAAGAGGCCTGCGAGATGCGAAGAGAGTCCTTGCTGGCTCCATTGCTTTCTTCCCGTCTTAGGGACGGGCGAGGTAGCAAAAGCCTTCGGCCACTCCCAAGCTTGCCACCTGTCTGAAAAACTGCAAGACTCAGGACTCTTCGCGCTCCCACGCACGTGGCCTTGGTGCCAGGGAGCAGGAAATGCCCATGGCCTCTTTCGAAAAAGGCCCCAATCGAGCTTGGCTTTGCAACTCGGAGCCGGCAGAAGGAGCTCTTCGGCACCTCTTGGCTTGGTGCGGCACGCTTTGGTGCCCCCAGCCCTAGCTACAGTATCCTGGAGTGGTGCAAAGGCAATATCACGAAGGCCAAGGCGTCAGGAGCGACAAACAAGACAAGGCCACCAAGGCCTCTTGACAAGTCGGTGCAAGGACTTTTGTGGTGCGGTGGTTCTGGGCAGGCAGTGATGTCTTTGGGAGGGACTGGCAACCCACCGGTATTGTGGCTCGCCTTCCTCCAACTAGCTCTGTCACAGAGTCACAAAGAAGCACGATCTTGACGGAATGCTCGAAATGCAAACGTAGAAGCGTAGATGAGATATAGATACAACCTCGGAACAGAAGTGCTAAAGCTCCGTCTCATCTGCTTCGCCCACAATCCAGGGCGCGATCGCCTCATACCTCAGACTCACATGATACGGAGACGCATACGTCACCTCGCTGCATGGCTCTGAGAGCTCTAGAGCAGCACAGATGCATCGAAGCGAAGTACCCCGGAGAAGGTGGCGGCGGCACCTCGCTCGCTTGAAGGGCTCTTTCCAACATGCAGGAGCCCAACACCTCTGCATGTCTTGTGCTTACAAACAGCCTCCCGCCTCATCAAGTTCGGGAAACTCCGGTGGGTGGACTTCGGGATCCGGTTCTTCGATGATGACCGCCTCCGCTGCTGCTCGTTTCTTTCCACTGGCTTGGATCCCCCCCCCTCCGATAAAATCCACGTCGGAGATCTCCGGAGAACATAGCTAGAATGCGCCCGTAATTGCAAAATCCGAGGCGGTCACGCGTATGTCAAAATCCTGGCTGTGGTGTAGAAATTGTACAAACTGTCTACTCGTGATCCTCCTCCTCCTGATGCTGTGCGGCTAGGGGCCGGCATCCTTCGGGGTGGGGGAGGTTGTACATATGAAGTGATCATTAACTCATGAGCCCGTTTACTTACTCGAAAGCAGGCGGAGGCTGAGACCGGCCGACCCCTCTAACTTCAGCAGATACAATGCAAAGACTGCTGCTCTGAAACTTCTCACAAGTCTGATGTGCACAAGGCCGCAAAGATCGTTGCACAAAGTGCTTCAGATGACCTTGTCATCTTTAAGACAGATACTATGGCTTCCTCCATTCGACCCTTTCGGTTAAATCTCAAAGCTCAAGTCAGAGCCAGTGCCACCTCGACATCCAGAACTGGCTCCTCGGCCCGGGCGTGACCTGTGGATTTCTCTCGCCCGGTCCGGTCATGACAGCTTTCAGAAGCCACAGAGTGATCTCAGTGACTGTCTTTGTTGCTCTGCGGCCTTCCACTGAGACCGGCCGCGCTGGCCGTGGAGCGGGAGGCGGCGGAGGACGCAGTGGCCGAGGGCGCTTCGGCGCCTGGCGCTTCTCTCCAAGTCCCCTCGCTTTAGCCGCTTCCTAAGAACCCCAGCACAGGCGCCAGATTCAGGATGGCCAGGTCCACCAAGCACCAAAAGACGTACACGATCTTGGCACATGCGGACAACGAAGCGCTGCCATGCACTGCCCTTGCATGCCCTTGCCCTTGGCCGATGTAGACTGACCATCAAAGAGCACCTTCCATCGTGAATGCCACCACGACCATCCCCGTCCCCCAATGGCGGGCATCAACGAACTTGACAAATCCTATCTCTGCCCGATTTGCGGCTTCCACTCCGGTTCACTTCCAAATGTGTGACTTGACCCAAACAGGAACAACCCGTCTACGAGAGTGTGCCACAAACCGAAGATCAGCGTGCAAGCTACGAGTTTGCGAACCGACCTGCCAAAGTTGTTTATTCTGAACGGCGACACAGAAACGGCCGCTGACATGAACCTCACCTGACGCTCAGCATGCACATGAGTCTTCCAAAACTTTCAAGTCCAGTCCCTAGGATCTTAAAGTATGCCACTTGCCGAAGTTCAGCCATGGGTCAGCGAAGAAGGCGAAGTACCTGCGAATGTGCTGGGGCCCTACGTGCAATGCGGCCGCCACCCAGGGAGAACCTTGCCGCCACCCGTCTGTACCATCCCAAGCTCAAGCGACAATACTACACTGCCACACCAATCTCAAAGAGCGGCGAGAACCTCTCAAATGTCAAAGAGCTCGCAGATCCCTGCTGCTGGCCACCTGCCTCTTCCATGGGATGGGTTCCGAGTCCTCGTCGTCCTCTTCCTCCTAGCGACAGCTTTGTCAACGCCAAACAAAAAGGGCTGCACTGCTCTGGCGCCACGTTCGCCTCCACGGAACTGCGAGGTTGGCTTGGACCTGAGTTTGTGAGGTAAGTAGGCTGAGACTGGCTGAGACCTGCGACAGGAAGCTCAGTCATGCTTCGTGTCGAATTCCCAGGCTGAGGTTGAGGACACGGCCTGACGGCTCTTCATTCACCGTCTTGTCAAAGCCCTGAGGCACAAAGGCTACAGTCGACGGAATCCAGGGAGCCCAGGGCACTGGGGATGAGAACAAGGATCCCGCCGAACCTACTGCCTGGAAATCTGCCTGCAGTGCTACGACCTCCTAAAGCTTGCATTCCTTGTGACCCATGCAGAAGCCCTGCGGCCACTGTATTTGATGCTCTCGTTGCTCCAGGTCGTCCCGTTGTGCCTTGTTTAGTTAACCGACGGCGTGAACTAACCGTGAGTAGCGGACAGTCGAGGGGTTGATGTGTTAGCATGACCGAAATTTCTCTACCATGAAAGCAGGCAAGTTTAGAACCTGGTGGTATGACCTCCCCATGTGACTACTCAATTGTGAATGCGACGCCATGATGGCCAGCTTAACCTCCCTCTCTTACGGGGTCTGTTCTGGAGCCAAGGTTGCCTAAACTCCCAAGCTTCAGACTTCAGAATGGCTCCCCTGCAGTCGAAAACCTGAGCCCTAAACTTGCCGCAACTCCTCGCACCCCCTCGAAATCGGCTCGCCTCCCGTTCCATGCGCTGCAACTCTTGGAGAACTAAGGGATCCGTCAGGTCAAGGCCGTGCTTTTTGGCATCCTGGCAGCGCATCCTAGCCATAGCAGAGCGGAAGGAGCCGTGAGTTGCTGCACCGCTTTCGGGGCGCCTCCACCAGCTCTGGCGGGGGGTTGGCCCAGTCGATCTTCGGCTGCTCAACGCTGTCCTTCACGACCTGAAGGCTTCACGCCGCTTCACCCCGCTTTCTCACTTTGACGCCACAGCCATCGCCTTCTTGGCCTGCTTGATCTGGTCGTTGAGCTGCCGAGCCTCGTCTTCCTGTCACGGAGGAGAAATGTCACTTTGCTAGAGACACACACACACACACCCACGCACACACACACACACACACATGGAGACGGTGGCTGAAGTTGTGATATTAGCTTTTCGCCGCTGTCTTTCAGAGATGCCAGAACCTGGGAAACCTTAGTCAATGTCCTGCACGGCCAAACTGTATTGGCCACTGCGAAACAACAACTTTGAGGGTAAGGTCGTGGGCGGCCGTCCCTGCAGGTACACACTTGAGTTTACCATAGCTTGGTTGGACAGGACAGGCAAATCAGCTCCTGTCCCCATGCTGCTAGCAATTGACGAAACAACGCATCTTTCCAGCAACCTTTAGCTTAGAATCAAAGCTCCCACACACACACACACACACACGGGAGAGAGGAGCTGAAGAAGGCATCGGACTCTGCAGCTCGTTTGACAAGCTTTGTGGCAGTTCAAGCTCGCAGGTCTGTCGCACGCGATTCCTAGGGTCGCACGGGTGGTCAGCACCCTGCAACCTTCAGAAAGTGGCCGATGCCAGGGATAACTCCGGCACGGCGGGCATCAAGCACTTGTTAGGGCCAAAAGGGCTTGCACGGCTGGCCGCTGCTCAGTGCCGCGAGATGTCGCGGGATGCGTGGTCCTGTGTTGACTCCGCTCTCGCAGTTTTGCAAGCAGGGGTTGGCTCCTATCCATGGGTCTGCCTCTGGGGAGTGGGAACTGTAAGTGGCCCTTATATATCTGGCGACACTCTCAGCTTCAAATTGTGAGCTCGAAGCCTCGGTGGATGGGTGCAGTAAGTTGGGCAAGCATGACTTCGGACAACTCTCGCTATCCAACAAGATATAATAAAATATGTCAAACTTGCAAACATGCTTCAACTGCCAAGGGGTGGCTCTGCAGCGAACGTGTCAAACACAGCTCTTCTGGTGCCTTTTGCGAGCGCTGCAAGGCTCGCGCATGCTCTCACTGTGCCATTTCAACTTGGACAGCTATGCTGCGACAGCAAGCTGCAAGTCGACAGGCAAAGCCACGTGCAAAGACTCGGACAGCGTCACGAACGAACCGGCGATAGCCAATTAGGTCGCTATCTCTGTGCCGCGCAGTTGGCATTTCGTGTCCGGGCGAGAAGAGGATTGGAGACGCTGGGTTGTGACACCATTAACTGCGGGACCGTGGTGGGCGGGCTAGAAATGCCAAATAAGATGCTTGCGCCACGGATTTTGTGCTAACCGCACACGGGCTTTGCTATGCTACAGAGCGTACAATGCCCTCGTAAGGGCTCCTATAGTCCTCGAACAGGTGTCGGTCTTGAATCGCCAGTCTGAAACGTATCAGGGAAGCAAAGGCTAAGCCGGCCAAGGCTACCAGTAAGGCTGAACCAAGGAAACTTGAAAGCTAGGATGCTTCGACGCTTCTTTCAGTTTCGAGGCTACGGCTACTTGGGCGGTTGAGACCAGGTGACGCGACCATCCCCATGTCAGTTCAAACGCCGGCATGTACAAAGTAGGGACAGCCAGCGGCCAGCCCGATCGGCCGCAGCTGAGGCTCTCTGCTCTGCAGGCAGCCTCAGCGTCTGGGACCCTGCCACCTGGCCTTCAGCGACGACGAATCCTTGATGGGTGCAGCGATGCCTTGCGACACACAAAGGTCGCAAGCTCGCATGGCATCCCGGACCCGCGACGCCAAGCGCGGGGTTCCATGCAGGAGGGAGGGGACGGCTCAAAGCCTCAAGGCTTCGACCCTCCGGTGCTGTACATCCTATCTACTACATAGGCCCGAACTGCATTGTTTACACAATCTATACACCCTCCAGAGTTCCGGAACTCTGGTGGTTCCAGCTACGTCTTGAACCTTCGTGAGAGCTTCCTTGGCTTGCTTCAACTTCTCATCCCCTCTGTGGTCGTTTCTACTTTCGCTTCATCTCCCACATGGGACAAGAACGGCTGGAGCAGCGAGGCCGAATAATTAAAGCAATTCGCAACCGGCGGCATGCAACCGTGACTTTTACACGATCAAAGCCAAGGGAAAACGTCACAAAATCGTCTCGGTCAACGTTGGTGCATCGGAAGCTTGCGCTGTGATGCCTGATGGCTTCTTACTCAAGTTTTATGCTCCTACTTGGCATGGTCCTTCTCCATTATCACCTGGCCAGAGTATCTCTACCCCTTCGCTCCCGAGCAGACTCAAAGCCTCACAGGGGGTGACCTAGGCTTCGCCAAAAGGCCCCGCTCCCTGAAAGGCGGTCAAGAGCTTGTCATGGCCTCGCCATCGGTATACGCAACTCCATGCCAGATGCCATATCACCTTTGAAGTCTCGCAACTTCACAACGGTACCTTAATCGGGGTGTGCTTTGCTTGCAACGTGGAAAACAACCCACAGCCACGGTGACCTTCAAGGGTCAAAGCACAGTTCTGGAAGGCCTCAGGAGACTCGAGAATAAGGCGAGCAACCTATGTTCGATCTGCAGTGAGGGCAGTGGGCACCACCACAGGCTTGGTTCTGAACGATCTTGGTGACGCAGGCTTCACAAACGGCACCGTGCGAACACGGTAAAAGCACCATGCATCCTGGCTCGTCGAGACAGACCACGCAGCGTGGCACAACGGACTCCTGGTCGCGAAATGGCACGGCAAGTCCCTGGCCCTGGATGCATTTTGGGCAACTCCTCTCCCAGGTTGCTGAGGCTCTCGAGGTCAGGATCTGTTTGCCTCGGCCAAGGCTCGGCCCGGCTGGGCTGAAGGAGGGCGCTGAGCTCGAAAGACACCACGAAACGCAACGAAAGCAAAGTTCGCCGAGCTGCGCTGGCGAGGGCTCGTTCGTGGGACGCAGCCCTTGAGCCGGCTCCGATTCCTCGGTCTTTCGTCACCAGACTTCCAAGTTCGTTTGTGTCCCCTGTTGCGTTCCGTTCTGAGCAGCTGCTGCCAGGCAACTCTCTCTGACACTTCCCGCCAGAAGGCTCTGCCGGCCTTCTGGAACTGAAAGAACTTGATGGGCCCGCTGGCACAGTAAAGCAACTCCTCGGGCTTGACCTTTGCTTGCATACGGCCCAAGTAATGCACTGTGTGACCTTCTGCATGCAGGTTGCCCAGCAGGAGACGTGATTGGTTCTGCGACAACCTGAAGGCCACTGAAGGCACAGAGAGACAAGGCACCACCAGCGGTGCGCCGTTACCCCGCCTCCGCAGACGAAGGAGGAGATGTTGGCCTGAACATACCTAGTCTTCTCATGAAGATCTAACCGCCACGTGCGATCTGAAGGGGGGGCCTTGTTCGCATCAATACGAGTTGAAGTTTGTCCAAGTCCAAGCCGCTGCCGGTGGTGACAGGAGCCGCACTCGACCTGAGCTGTCGTAGGGAAAGACGTGAAGGAGCACAGGCAGCCCGCTGCGACTGCATGGAACTTCAAGAACATTGCCACGGCTGCTGAACCCTCGGTTCCGTGTAAAACGGAGAACCGTCAGAATGATCGGCCCAATTGAAGGACCAGCGGCGACTCGGGTCGCTTGGCCGGTTCTGCGTGACAGGCTTTGCAAGACGAATCGTGGGCCGAGGATGAGCGCCTCAATGGCCGGCCGGCGTGAGAACCCTGTAGATTCGAATCAGCTGAGTAGAGCACCAGTAGCAGGAACACTGCCAGGACAACATAGAGGTATGTGTCGGTTGGGCCCACGTTATCCTGTGGGGACAGCAAGAACTGCGACAGTTCAGTGGTAAATCTCAGGCATGTTCAAACGATGAACAGACAAACAACAGCACATCAGGGCACCGACACCAACCCCTCCCTCCCAGGCCCAAGTTGTCCAACACAGAGGTTCAAGACCAGCTCCTTCACGTTGCTTAGAGAGCTCTGAACCTCGTCTCCAAGGACGGTCCAAGTCAAGCCGTCCGTGTCCATGTCCAGCTGCGGCCTCTCGCTCCAAGGCTTGAAGCTCGCAGTCTCTGCACGATGTGGGCTGCTCGCATACTGTCTGAGAGAGCAGCATGCGGAATACCTAGGGGTGAGTGGTATATTTTGTGCATGTTTACGCCATGCTGCGTTTATTGCATCGAAACGAGAGCTGGTTTGACGATCTCCCCGTATGAGTGCGATACTCCATGTAGACAGACCTGCCTGAAGTACCTTGTGCCTACGTGGCGTGCTAAGCATGTCTTGACGATCTGGTGTCGACATGTGACCTGTAGCCTTTTTGGATTGATTCCAGTAGGCTGCAAAATTCGTGGATACTCCTCAAAGTTTGGTACAAAAGGGATTGAGGCTCAAGGCAAGGAACAAACGGTTGTCATGGAAAGTCATTTAACTTGTAAACCCGGCGACACTTCTTCAAAGACACACCCTGGCGATATGTGCATCCCTGCAATGAATTCGAAGACCACATGTGGCTGGCCTTGTTGTGGGCTGGCGTGGCACCACTTGAGCCGCAAAGCGCTGCTGGTGACAGGAATCCGTTTTCGAGACAACAGCAAAGCAGCTCAAAGTCGATTAGTCTTGTCAGATCCCACCCTTTTCCACCGCCCCGCAACCCTGGTCCTCTCGGAGCAGCAGGGCTTAGCACTGCAGGGCGGGCAAGACCCGCCAGGCTGGGCCACATCGGTGGGACATGTGCCGGTTCTGGATGTGGCTGCTTAGATTCCGTGGCGTGCTTTTCAGAGAAGTAAATTCTTGGAGTTCTTGCAACTGGCTCCGGTTGCTCAATGGTTGGCCGGTCAGCCAACCTAGCTTGAGCCCGGCTTCGGGTGAACATGGGCCAAAGACAGTCCTGTAGCTGAAGCACAAACCATCGAGCAGCATGTCGATTTGCCATGCCTTGCAAATTTCGCCCATACTCCCCTGAAAAGCAAGAAGCCTTGCCGTTCCTAACGTAGAGGTCTCGGAGGAGCTCCGCATCTTGAATGCGCTTGTCAATGGGATCCTCCAGAGAACAAGACGAAGAATATGCACCCCAACTCTTGGCCAAAAAGCTCTTATGCGATGCCCTTCCTGATCCGAGATTTCAGAGATCCGCTGCTCCAGGTCTTCGTAGGTGGCTCCTTGTGGCAAAGGCATCACTTGGCAGGTCTTGCGGTGACGGCCCTGTCTGCGCTACGGTGCCTGAGGCGAGCAAGGAGCTCCCCGTCTTTGTTGAAGCTTTCGCAAGCCTCGCCTCCTGAGCCACCTGCGCGGGGTAGCATGCCCCCATATGCCCTCGACCAACCGTGCATAAGAGTCAACCATGCTGGGACCCCGCACTAGTCCTATAAGTTTGGGGCTTCTACATAAGCGTTGCAGCGGCATTGCGGATTTATTGGATTTGGGCCCTGCTTTCAAGCCTCTATTTTGTTGCGAGCTCTCGACCGAGCATCAGAAGCATCATTGATTCCGCGCTGTGCGGCCATCAACAAAGCTCTCAGTAGTGGCTGCTCCGTTTAAGGCACAAGGCGGAGTCTCACCTCAATAACTCTCCGGATTAACCCTGAACCCCCTATGCAGATCATTTCAGATCAACATGCTGGGCCATAGATGTGTTTGAGAAGGGGGCTTCGGAACGCGTGGACCCCGCGGTTTTCTTTCGTCACAGAACAGTTGAGAGGAGGATCCAGAGTGGAAGCCGTGGCCTGTGCCAAGGGCCACTCATGAACGTTGGACCAAGGAGAACGAGAGCAGGGCTGCTGGACAGGACGCCCAAAACGGAAGGAAAAGGAGGCCCTCTGGAAGCATTGCCCCGCCCCTTACGCCGGCACACTGACACTTACTTCTCGCCTTGTCGTAGATCTGGCCTCGATCGAACAGCCCGGTGTAGGTCTTGGAGTCCTTGTGATGCCCACTGCAGGTATCGGCGTGCAGCAGCGATTGCAACGGCTACGAAACCGGCCTTTTCTCTTTGCACCCGGCGTTCGGCACGCAGCCTCAAGAGTTTGTCTACTCCCAAGTCCTGTCCGGGTCGACCAGAGGCGCCTGGTCAAGAGCCGCTCGATGGTCTGGTTGCTGGGATCAAGCGCATTGGCAACTGCCAGGTCCTGGCTCCCGCCCCGGGATCAATCGGAGAGAAGCCCTGACAAACGGCTCCTTGATCGCAAGGTCATGGTCGTAGGCGGTTGCCTTCGTGGGCCTGCTTGCAAGTCTCCCAGGGGCAAGCCAAGGGTTGCGCACGGCCACTTCGTGCCTTATCCGCGACTCTGCACGCCGATAGAGTGCTTTCACATTCTTGGGGTCGAGCCTCACTGCAGGCAAGTGCAGGCAAGCTCACCGTGAACAACGGATACAGTGGCCGCATTTTTCTATGCCGACGGTTGATTCTTTGAGGTGCCAGCTCGAGAGTCACGTCACAGGCAGTGATGGCCTGTAAGGCTGCCAAGAATGTTTCCGGCAGGGTGCAGGTGTGGATAAAAATTGTAAGAAGCAATGCGAAGCTGATTACAAGCTACAGCATTGATACCTTTCAACACCGCGCGGCTCGTGTACACTGCACACCGGTATCCTCGTCAAACTTGTCCAACTTCTGCTTGCAGGCCGCCAGATTCAGTGCGCACCTTAGCGTCGATGTCAATCCATGTCGGGAACGGCGTGGCTACGGCCTGAATGACAAAATGCCGGGTCCCTCACAGGGCGCGGTGCTTCCGCTGCCACTGTGCGTCCTCTTCCGTGCTGCCCACGTCGTCCACTGGCGCAGGAATTGCTGCTGCAAAGCGCATCTTCTGCAAGAGCAGGAGGCCTAGCTTCAGGACATCGTCATCGATGCCGCGGTTGTTCTTCCGCCAGTTGGCATCAGTGCCTAGGCTTTTTGGATCTCGGACGAAAGAAGACTTGTTACCCGCTACACAAGCCCCATGTCAGATCCAGTTGCTCCAGTAGTAGTGGACCAGCGATGCGGCCTCTAAGCGCAAGTCACAGGCATCAGAACTCAGAATTGCGACGCTTTCTTCGGCCCCGCACTTCCTCGTACTTCTCTATTGCATCCATCCAGGATCCCTTCCTTGGGAAGAGTCAACATTTGCTGCGTGGCCAGATAGCACCAGGAAGCAAAGCCCAGCACTTGAAGAGGTCATTGCCTTCTTCTTTCAGCCTTTCGGCAAGAAGTCTGTCACAGCAGTCATGCTTCGAGCGCAGTATCAAACGCCTCTCGGAGATCACCTTCTTCTCATCAAACGGAAGCTGCCTCCAAGCCTCTTCAGGTGCTGCAGCCAACACGGAAGCTTACTTCAGTCTCTTCAGCCTTAAAGTCCTCCTTCTCTCCGTGGAACAGTGTGTGTTGCACAAAGAAGGGTCTCGTCCTCTGCACAGGATCATCGTATCCAACACCACAAGCCTTGAGCAGCTGCGCTGATAAGACCGTCGCTCGTAGGTCTTGCGCTTTTCATTCATCTGGGCAGATTTCAGCTTGACCTGAGCAGCGGTGCGTCTGTGGCATTACTGCTCCTGCTCCTGCCTTTTCCACATGCCCCCGCTGTGGTTTCTTCACGGATATTCCGGTTGCGACAAAGACGAGTGGTCTTGCTTTCGTTCCGACTGTTACCACCCTTCGGGGACACACCTCACATGATCTCTCAGTAGATTTCTGACTCGCCGTGAATCTTGGAGTGAGGCTGCCTGTTGCAGGATGTTCCCGATCCTGGGCACAAACTGAGTCAGTCATGATACACGTTACCGTTACATACATAGCTGCACATTTATAGAAACAACAATAGTAGCAGCTACACGAATCGCATCAGAAGCATTCGTAGCATTGCCGAAAAGTGGTATCAGCGATTCTTCATGATCCATTGCGGCAACAACAGTCAAGCTTGGCTGAGGAGCTCGTTGTCTCCGCTGAACAGCGACATGGCAACACCGAAAGAGCCTGCGCAGATGGAGTGGATCCTTGAGCGATGCTGTTTCCATGGATTCAAGACCTAGCACAGACACCGGACTTTGATACAGGTCAACTGATCTTCGAGTCTCTATATGAATACATGCATATACCTGCGCGAGACAACGAGAGAGGACTCCCACCTCTGAAAAGCCTTGCAGGTAAATCAAACAGGCAGCGGGTCTAGATGTATCAACGCAGCGTTTTGCCGCGTTTCCAAATGACCCTAAGAGGCAGATGTGTTTTGGATGTGACAGCGCTTTCCGGGTTCTAGTTAGCTGCACTGCACGGACTGCGCCGCACAGTGAGGTGTCTGGCGGGTTGTTGGCTTCTACATCTAACCAAAGATTTGCCGAATGCTGATAAGGCGTATGTGCTGCGCTGGGTGGAAAGGTTCTTTGAAGCACCTTGAGATGCAACAGCTTCGGCGAAGGCGCTGAAAGCTTGTCGAGACTGCGACGACTCGCTGCTTCGCCCTGATCAGGTGTCCCCATGTGTCCCGAGTCTTGCTTCGGTGCACTCTGGCGCTCTTCCCGGTTGGCATAGTACGAATTCTTACTCGACGAAGCTGCCTTCGTGCAGCAGATAAATGCGTCGCGCTGGCCCATGGGCCACATGCAGTCCCGAGCAAGAGATGCTTAGAGCGGCTTCCGCTTACAGTCGGAACTAGGAGGATCCTGCTGTAGATCAGTTTTCAATTGCACCTCCTTCGCACAATCGCTAGCACTGTACATGGTGCGACTCAGGGGCTGCGACTGCATCGGATCTAAAGGTCTGAGCATCAAACGGCGCTGGCATGTGCCAGGTAAGTTGCTGACGAATAAGGATCGCAGGACCGGTCGCCGACGAAGCCTGGGCGGCTGGGGATTCAGCGTCGAGCTGCAGCTCGTGACGTGAGGCGATGAGTCTCTCCTTAAAAGCCCCTTCTTTACAGTGAGGGGGTTCAACCATCCTCCCTCACAGCAACTGATGCCTGGACGACCTGCTTGTCGTGAAAGGCCTTCGTTTGGCCTGAGACTTAGCAAGATCTTGGCGGGCACTGCCGGCACAGAGGCCCAAAGCAACTGAGAAGCACTTGAGGGGCAGAGGCCATGGCTTGGGTGGCACGTTTTCTCGACCACGTTGGTCTGGAGCCAGCATCGCATGGAAGAGATCCCTGCAGGCGCCAAGGTGCGGCAAGACTCGAAAGTCTTGCAAAGGAACTGCCGGCAGTCTACTTACTGGTCAAAGCATATTCCCGACCTTGCAGAATCGAGCTGGGACCGCCGTCGGTCCTCCTTGGCCTCCCAGAATCGGCGGACTCGCAGGCCCAATGATCTTTCACATCGCCAACTTGAGCAAACCAGGAGGGTCTCTTGCAGCAGCGCAGGGCCTGCTGTTGTCGATCTTTGGCCTTCAAAAGCCGGTCTACCGACACACTCTCGCGGATCAACTCTCCAGCCTCAACTCGCGAGCGGCGTCGGGCATCTATCTCGTCCTCCCCAGCGACATGACGACATCGCAGAGTGTCCCACAACAGACGTGGGACCATTGCAGCGTGTTTACAACCGGCAAGATGCCAAGGTTCTGACGGACATCCGGCGGTTGTCGTCCAGGATGTGCCGGAGCTCGGTCTGAATGGCGAAAACCGCAAAGATAAAATAACACCTAGAGACCTAGAGGGTAGGAGTTCCGCTAGTTCCTGCCTTCAGCACCTCGACCTCGGCCTTCAGCCCAGCCACGTCCATGGCCTCCTTGCGCATCCTGGACAAAATGCAGGAGATAAAGGCACCCCCCCCGTCACCGGATCAGAGCACCTCTGCACCTCCTCGCGCAGGGCCAAGAGCTCAGACCGCGGGCACACACCTCGGATCAGGTACTTCTTGTCGGCTGCCGACGCGCACGGCAAGCAGTTCCTATGGATGCCCAGGTTTACGAGTTTGCCAAGCGCAGATTAGCAATAGACAAGTTCTTCTGGGCTGTACTCGAAAATGGCGAACATCGCAGCAGCCCTACGCACGTAAGGACCAGGCGCACGGGCATCGACACTCGCTCGATCCTGGTACATCTGCACAGCACTCAGTGGGGACCTAAACGCACCCCGGCCTCCTGGGCAAGGGTCCATGGCATCCTCCAAGGCACAGGCGCAAGATGCAGGCCAGGATGCAGGGACGGAGCAGGGCCCGTGCCTGGCACTCGCAGGGTCCCCGCGGCTGCCGCCACGCTGCAGTCGCTGGAACTGCGAGGCACCGACGAAGGCCTCCAAAGAGCATCTAGATTTCAGCGGAGCTGCGCATGTTTTGAGCTGGTTTTAGAGCTCAGCAATCCTGAGCCCGCTGCACAGACACAGGCCAAGCCAAATGCTGAATGGTGAGGTTTTTCCTGAGTATCAGCAGCATCTTCGGGCGTTCCAGCCGAGCACTCGGCCCACTGGCAGTTTCCCAACTTGTTAAGGGGCTAGCTTTCGCGATTTATTGATGGAATTGCAACCAACTGCCTCCCATCCACAGGCTCCAGCCAAGCCCTTCGCTTAGTCGCAATTGGCATTGGAACACCCCAGCAGCTCTAACGCAAAACCAGCGGCAATCGGCAGGCGTGAGCTTAACTATATTTTGCGTCTGAAGCTCGCAGCTTCGAAAAGTCTGACGAGCCTAGGAAGCCGCATGATCGCTACTTGCGACAGGCCTGGCAAAAGGCCCTTGACCGCACTCCCGAAAAAAATCTGATCGCTACGCTAACCCCGAGCAAGGATCTGCGGCGTTAGCATGATGCAGGAGGCGCGGGATGGCGCGGCTCGGGACCTGTCCTCTGGTGTCGTGGTTCGCATCTTTGTCATGCAGACGGCTTTCTGACTCTGATGATGCAGCCGTCCTAATGAATCCATCTAGACTCTGAACATCTTATCGTGAGCTTGTTGTGACAAAGACCGACCCATCTTTTGCGGTCTCTTCGTTACGATTGCTCCGGCTATCGGCACAATGGCTGCGGGCATGAGTTGCTCTTCTCAAGCTGCCAAGTTTAGATCGAAGTAGCCATACTCAAGGATGTGAAGGGCTTCCCCACGCTGAATTAGGCTGAATTGATCCTTCCTCCAAACGCACCAGTCTCTTGCTTTCAAGTCGTCACTCGCTCGCTTCTTTGTCATGCTTCGGACGATGGCACACCCACATGGCCACGCTAAGGCCATGAGGGCTCATGCGGGCGTCTCTTCGACCTTCTCAACCTCTGGGACCTGTCAGTCAGACTCTATAACGCCTCGGTTAGGTTCCGCAAGGCTTCACACGAATGCTTCACGCTTTCCGGCCGGCCTTCATTAGCAGGTCTGTGAGTCGGGCATCCTTCGCCTTTCCTGTTGCCAGGATGATCTCAAGCATCTCCTGCTCACGACCAGGTGCGAAGGAAGGGATCAATTCCACTTTTGCCAGGTCATGCCAGGTCTGCCTCTTCCAGCTTCTTCATCGAGGACTTTGCATCTGCAAGCCTCTCCTCTGCCTGACTGGAGAACCGGAATGTAGCATGCAAGAGATCGGACTTACCGTCAGATCAACGCCGTTTCTTCGCGCCAAGGGCGAAGACGGGGGGCCTCGACGTAGGCATCTGTTGCTCTCTGCATGGCGTCCTTCTTTGAAGACACCTCGACTACTATGAAGGCGGGCTACAGCTCCTGTTCTGCAAGAAATCCACCCGCCTCGCGCTCGAGTGTTCGCACGGCGCGCCCGCGCGACTCGATAGCTGTGCGTAGGTCCTCCGGGAGTTTGGACACGAATCGCCGGCGGCTCTTCGGCACTTGGCCCGGGCGATTGGCGAATTGGCGCTCCTGAACGCGCTTCTGTTCCGCCTCGGGCCGGCGAGGCCCAACCAATGCAGGGGCAGCCGAGCATGCAAAGCGACAAAGGCGGCGGCCAGGGAGCAGCCCGTCTTGAGCTCCTGCTCCAGGCCGGCAAGCCGTCTTTCCTGTGTGCGCTGCAGCGCGGCTCTCTTTCTATCCTGAGCTCACGTCCAATGTCCTCTTCCAGCAGCTGCAGCTCCTTCTCCCGCATTTGCGCCTGATGCCAGTTCAAAGGGCACAGAAAGCACCAAGCTGTAGCAGCTGGCCTGCAGTGCTGCCTTTCGAGCTTGCACCTGCTACTGCTCAAGCCACGGACGTCACAAAAACAGCACAACTGCTCGGGGGCTGAAGTCGGGCCTCGCCTCGTCTCGTGCTCGCACGATCGAATCACGAGCCAGCTGCTCCTTTGCACGGGTCGCCTGCCGAGCAGCGCGGGCTTGCGAGGGTCAACGCACTCCCTTTTGCCAGCCTCGTCCACGGAGCGCGCAACCTCCAAGACGTTCAAATCGCGGCCTTCAAAGCGAGAGTCACAGGTCCGAATGCCTCTAACCATGATTCACATCCTTTACAGTTCCCGATCCCTGGGCTCCGAAGCCTTCGGTGGCACCTGGCAGTCCTGGTTCCGGTTCTGCTTGTGCTCCTGCTCCAGGAAGCAGGCAAGGGTGTCTCAGGAGCTTGTGGCCAAGAGGGGCCTGCAGCAACTTTGTCGCCTGGAGAATCGGCTGATGCGCCTTCGATACAACATAAAACGTCACACAAAGCCACGCTAGGCAAACTCAAACAAGTGTTGCAAACGCAGCACACTGTGGAAGGAGACATAGGCCAGGCTTGCCTGATGCAGCTTCGGCGTCGCTTGCTTCGACTTTTTCCGGACCTGCGGTGTGCTGACATTCGTCACACAGCGCCGCCCACGCCCGCAGCTCACGTGCCTGCGCACAGCTTCGTGGCAGACGAAGCATCTGACGTCGAGGACTCCTCCTGCACCGCCTGCACCTGCCCAGCAGAACGGAACGGACCAGCAACGGCTGTTGGAGCCGCATCTTCCTCCCTCAATAGGTAAACGACACAATGCTAAACATTCGCTACTTCTTGTCCGGACCATGAGTGACGCGCCCGCAATGGCACGGCCTTTTTCCGCGAGATGGACGCGAAAGTCAAGTTGCGGTGCTTAGCCGTGCCCCCCCCCCATTTAAGAGAGAAAAGGGACGCAACCTCCCGTCCCCATTATTTTTGCTCTTCGCTCTTGATATTCACGTCTTTGAGCTCTGGTGCACTGCCAAGGCAGTCTCAATACGAAGATCTCAATGACAGCCAGGGTCATGCAACGAAACTCTTGCAATTTCGACAGCAGAGTTGAGGGGCCTCGGTGCCCTGCCTGTTTGGTTAAGAGAAACAGCATGTCGTCCGCGATAATTCACATTGACATGAACCCCCACACGGCAACTACTCTGAACAACTCCGAAAACTACTGAGAACTACCTCCCGGGGCATCTATGGCATCATGTTCCAACAAAGAAGCAAAGAAGCAGTCGCACAAGTCCCAGGGGCCTTGTCCGGTCTCTGCATCGGCGGTTTCGGTCTCTGCTTGGCGCCTTGATGCGATACCGACAAAAAGCTGGGCAACGCTGATCGATGGGCCTAGCAGCCGTGGAGGCCGTGATCTCAGGCGACGTCCTGTCGCCCGCGACTCTTTCGCGGACAACCTCGGCACCGGCGACTCACACAAGAACCTCGACTGCGAGGACTCTTGGAGTGCATCTCTACCTTCTCGGATGGGACCCAATTTGAGCTCAGGTATTTGTCGCACCTCAAGCCTATTCAGACTGCACGATTCGCGCATTTCTCACATGTGCCATCACGCTTCATGCTCGTCACGATTTATTCTCAGCACATTTCAATTCACTCGGGGTTAAATTCGCATACAACTGATGCGTTGCTCACATGCCCCCCATGACGCAGAAAGCAACTGAGGAAAACACAAACCTCTGCACTGGACATGTTGATTCGCAGGTGTGTGGGTTGTGCAGTAGCTGCAGTGTCGGCACAGGCAAGCCTGTTCCCGACATCACGTTCCAAGACTACGGCTGTGGATAGGCAACTGATCTCATGGCATGTCACAGTTGCTCCTGCTTACCTCTTTTCGGACAAGCAGACATGTCTGGATTTTATGCCTCAATATGGTGTGAACCCCTCGGTCTGAGATAGCTTGTGCAACAGAAGAACAAACGAACGAGAGACTCATCGTTGATAGTCACTGCATGACTCGCACAATGCTGGAAGTATTGACATATGGTTGGCTGAAGTTCAAGCATTAATGTGCAATCCAGGGAAGAGACTGGCAGTGATTTGCAGAGCTTCTTTTCTCACGTCGCTATCTTCAATGCCGAAAGCAGTATCAAGCACATGCTTTGCCTCACTTTCGGAGCAAGCCTGTGAGGACACGGACGCTCGCTCGACACAGCTTTGGGACTCCAAGAGAAAGATGGAGGCGCTACCTGCAGCAACCAGCGCACCCGCAGCTGTTGCACCTCACATGGGACAATCACCTGCCAGCAAAACTTTCTTTGGGAGTCTGCCCACCTGGGCTTCATCCAAAAGTCCAGGCTGCAGAAACCCCTTTGCGTCCAATGTCGCCTAAGAACTCTGCTGGATGCATCTTCTACATCAAAATGCCGGCCTTGTCCGAGCTGCATCATTTTTGATCATGTCCAAGCGGCCAAGAGCACTGAGCAAGCAACTGCGACATTGAAAGAGACACACCTGACAGGTCATTCAATGAATGAGACGCTGCAAGAACTGCCTGTCACCAACTTGGCCGTCCCACATTCCGTCGGTGGGGATAATGCAGGATCCGTCGACGTAGCGCTGCACTTCGGGTGAGACACCTGCAAACCTTTGCACAGGAAGGAGGGAAAGACTTCTTGGCTCGGTCGCCTGGCCCACCCCCCTCTCGAAGGTTGCTGGGCTGTGCATTGGGCTTGTGAGCCAAGCAGCTCCGAGCCCAGCACGAAAGCCAGCTTGTGTCTCTCATGCCTCAGCGACTCAGTGGCTCTCGGCTTCCGGCTTCGGCTGGTCTGTGAAATGCCAAGGGGCGGCATGAGCGACCTGGTCTCCAGTAGATCCTCAGAGAGAATAAAGAGAAGGGATTCTCAGCCTCTCAGCCCGCAGGGTCGCCTCGAGCGGCTGGCTGTTCTCTGTCAGCGCGAGGCTCCACACTGCGAAGCCTTCGGCCCGCAAGGCCTGCGCGAAAACTCCGCGCGAACCCGCTGCGAAAGTTGCCGAGCACGCCTCGATGCCTCGACGCACGATGCCGCGGTTCGCCAGCGACGGACGAGGATCCACGGCTGAGCCTTTAGAGCCTTGCACGAAGCATAGGCCTTCATTGCAAACTCGATGCGAGTCACCAGGTCGCACCTGGGCAAAGGAGTCGTTGACGCTGGCATCCCGTTCCTTATCCTCGGTGGACTGACGAACGCTTCTAAACCCTGAAGCAATTGACCCACCAAGAACCAGAAACCTGGCAGAAGGCATCCAAGTATCTATCAGCTCCAGGCGCAGTAAACCAGCCGCATCCATCGTCCTGCGACTCGAAAGCCGCGAAGCTTTCACGCTTGAGCCCTCCTGGCCTCAGAATGGTCCACGCATTGCTCAGGTTGCAGGGCCCGTCCAAGACCAAAGAGATGTCTGCAGACTTCTGCTTCAATACAGACTCGACCTGCAGAAGGAGCATGCGAAAAGCCGCAGAACGAGGCTCACAGCTGGAGCTGGCGCCTGGTTGCTCCAGGCGGGCCCTGCCAGCTTGGCCAAGGCGGCGGCTGCACGAGAGCCTCTCCCTAGAGCACTTGACTGCACAAAATCCCGTGCATCCGGGGCACATCCAAGCCTTGCGCTCGGCTCACCTTCGCCAACCTTAGCTTCACAGCATGTTGGGAGAGAACATCCTGCAGAGTGCCTGCAAAGTACACATCAGCCGTTGCAGCCTAGGCTCGCGTGCCAGGCGCGCTGCGTCAGGTCAGTTCGGCGCTTGGCTGCTGGAGCTGCTGCAAAACCAGACGGGACAGGATCGCGCCGACGGCGCTGCGTGTATCCTGGGATATCCCTCTGGTTTTCTTAGCCTACAGTGATCAGTAAACCTCAAAGGCTTCAGACATCTTCAAAGCAAGACTCGGACACCCCAGTCTTCCCAAGTCCAACGTTCCCAGGAGGACAGGCACCCTGGATCGCTCAGCGATCTCACTCGCAGACGAAAGCCCTTGGCTGAAGCTTTGAGCGAGAGTAAAAAGCTAAAGTGCTTCATTCCATAGCGACAAGTGTTTGCTTGATGGCAGCTGGCGTGCTCTCCGCAGACCCACAGCAATCACCAACGGCCAAGCTGGACGGTCTGCTTCCCGAGGCCATCGTTCCGGATCTCCTTGCGCAGGAGCATGCCAGACAAGCATGAATTGCCAGTCGCGGCGAGCCCTGAGGCTTATCACAGCTCGACTGTCCAACGCAGGGCACCGACACACCAGTGGTTCGACACACCCGCAAGGGCCTTTTCACCCCGAACACCTCCCGTTTCCTGCCCTGGTCAGTCCTCCCTGGTGGAAGCGAGGTGCGGGAGTCGGGGGTGTCGGAAGTGCACCGGCCCTGTACGTTCAAGTGGATCTGTCCCGAAAACGCAGAGCCTGAGCCCGAGCCCTGGCCTCAATCGCCCGGAATCGGCGGGATGAAGACTCAATGCCATGGCGGCTGGCGGCTAGCGACTGCCCGATGTCAAATGTCACTTATGTCCTCTCAGTTTTCTAGCTCTGAGCCAGGGGTGCAAAACGGTGAGACTCTCAGCCCTCTTTCAGCCACTTGAGCTGTGTGCCCCGGCGGCGTGGCTGGTGGTGTTGCTGGCGGCGGCGGTGGCTTCGCCACCGCACGCGGATCCTCAGAGCATAAAGCCGGAAAGGAGGTTCTGAAAGGGTTACAGTGGATAACGCGGTACGAGGCCCAGGCATACCAATCCAGCCCAGACATGCTGCCCGCCATAGCAAGGCAAGGGTTCACGGACCGACAGGATAGACGAGCTTCCTGGGGGTAAGTTTGGCTGCTGCCGTTGTGAGCTGGATATGGGTGGATGTTGCTTCGATGCAGTGCCATTGGCCTATTTACTACCAGAAGAGCTACAACAAAAGTCAAACACATCATGTCATACAGACTAGCATCGCTTCACTGCAAGCCCTACTGGCAACGGAGGAACTTCACTTGAAGTTCATGCTCCACGATGCACCTATTCGGTGGGCCAATTGCACGCATGTTTACCCAGCTGTGCTGCGGGGTCAGCATGCAACCTCAGCCGCTTGGCTGATGCAGCTGCAACGCTCTCTCCTCCGAGGGCAGGGTAGGAACAACATTGCCAAATGATGCTTCTGGAGGAAGCGGCGACGAACCAGAAGCAAGTCTTCGTAATTGATAGGTCAGTCTGGCTGCTCCGTGCTCCTGCAGGAAGTAGGCTGCCACCGAGTTGGCGGCAAGCCCCCCACGCAAAGTCACCTGGGGACCCGTAGCAGCCCTAACGACCCGAACGCCGACACACAGCCGACTCTGCAGACAGCTGGAGCCTCTAATTTGACAGATACCGACAGGCGTAAGCAACGTCTGCGACAACCGAACAGCATGGTGCAGCCGATTGATTCGCACAGCGCTCTGGGAATACCCACCTGTCTCAAGTCGGGGGGCACCTCCTGGCCCAACTCGATGCGGACCCTGAGTTGGTCGGAGCATGGACGATGTGCTAAAAGAAGGGAAATTCTTGCAGCGGGGCACTGGCATCTCTGTGCAATCTCTGTCAGCTGGCCTTTGGGAATCAGCGACTCCTTCGAAGCGGAAAAAATCTGCAAAGTGAAGAGACCCGAAAAAAGCACACTTTCTCCAAACACAGCTGGAGAAAGCGCTCTTGGAGCAGCGAGGTAGTCAGCAACGCGACACCTAAGATCATCTCATCTCATCTCATGTCATCGCATCTCATCCATCAACACAACCCCTCTGTAAGATGATAATAGGCTATTATAGGTCTTCCTTCTTGCACAAGCCCTTCCACGAATCCTTTCAAGATTCTAGGAAGCCTTCGACAAATCCTGCAAACTTCTGCATAAACTCTCCTAGAAACCTTTCTACAAACAAACCCTCCTTGCTATAATGCCTTCGATCACTTCTTCCATAAACGCTTCTACAAACCCTCGACCAAAATGCTTCCTCCCACGTACACTGCCCGAACACGCTATATCCACCGGGAGGGTTGTTTTCATTTCGAAGCCAGCATGTGGCCAATGTATTGGAATGTACAATGAACCGTTTTTATCGCAGGATGCGACACCCAGGCAGCACTGAGACGGTTGCCATTTCCAGACCAACATAAGGCCAATGCATTGGAATTTGCACGAAATTTCAATGAACCGCTCTTTCCGGGGAACGGACATGCCGGCATCACCGAGGAGGTTGTCAAGTCCGAATACCCATCGTCACGGCACTGCGTGCGCAGCTCCATGTCGCCCGACCGAACATGCCATCACACGCGCAGCGCCCTTTACATGCCATTAACTTTACGGCAACCTCACATCCTGCCATCAAACATAGTGCCATCCATCCAGCAGCCATCCATCCTTTAGAAAACACTGACCAAACCCTGTTCACTGCGAGCACAAAGAAGTCCTGCAGCAGCGAAGTTGGTAGCAGCAGGTGCAGCTGAGACGTGGAGCCGGCGATCCTGCGACAAACAAGCAACAGAAGATAGCCTCCTTCACATGCATCATCGGATAATGAAGTTACTTGGGGACATTTTTGCCTTTTACTTGATCTGCAGCCGAGCGACATGCCCCCTTGCAAGGCGGCCCGGAACATCATCTCGCTGCCAAGGCTGCCCATTCCCGCAAGGCCATCGAAGCCTAGCCAAACCGAGTTGTTTGTGGAGGCCTCACGGCGGATTCGTGTCTGCAGCCAAGATGCCCATACCCATGACCCCCATCCTTGGATTCTTGATCTTGGAAACGATTGCCTCTTCGCAAACACAAATGCCAAGCGTCCCCAGAGGGCCGGCAAAGGCAGGACCACGACCATCGATGCTCGTCCCGCCACCTGTAAAAAGATGCAGCTGCACGATCTTCCAGTGAAGTGTGTCAACGTCGACCGGGTGAATGCCTGTCCCGGCAGACGATGCTGATGGGCTAAAGGTCATGGGACCACCTGGAGCATTGCATAGCTTTCAAGGCAACGGAGATTGCGAGGACTGCAAAGGGATTGCGACGTGCCTGCTGCGGAGCCTCCATCTGGGCCGAAGCTTGTCTTTCCACCTTTGCGAGGGCAGGAGGGCAGCCCACCAACACCATGAACACCCTCGAGCCCACGCCTCCTATGCTTGGCTTATCGGGACTGAAGCTTGTAGGACCACCTGAACATCGGGAGAAGTCCATACTGCAACATGAAGCAAGCCCTAAAAACTTCTCTGTCCCATGCGAACTCCGGGTGCCAGGGGCCGCTGGGACTTGATGGCTACCGACTTGACTCATGCCTTGCTCCCAGATTTTGCTGGCTCGTGTCCCAAGCCCGCGACCAACATCTGGGCCAAAGCTCATCTTGGCACCTGCATCAAGGCCACCAGCTTTGCAACTGCGACCAGGCTATATAACTGGGGCAAGAAATCTGGCCGGTCTCTCGACAACCTTAAATTCAGGAGGGCGCAAAGCACAAACAGGTTGAAGACACATGAAGATACGGATAATCGTCAAAAGGATGTGATATACAAACAGGCGCGGGAAACACGTCGCAAAGGGGTGAACCTGGACCTGCTCCACTGGAGGGAGCCGATGG